CGCTCCGGGGCACAGGGGGGAGCAGGGGTGATGGGGGAGAGGGGCGGAGTTGGGGGGAGCGAGGGAGACCGGGGCGGTGCTGGGGAAGATGCGGGGGGCTCTTGGGGAGAAAGGGGCACCGGGGGTGGGGAGAGGGGCAAGCTGGGGGAGCGGGGGGGGTTCAGGAGAGAGGGGGACACCAGGGGGAGCGAGGGTTAACAGGGATGGGGGAGCAGGGCGGTAACCACAGACCAGCCCCTGGCCGTGGCCCCAGAGGGACCAAGAGGGGTGTGGAGAGAGGGTCTGGGGAATAAATCCTGGGAATAAACTGCTGTTCCTCAGGTAGGACACGCGGGCACACAGGAGGGTGACCCTTGGCTGAAGGTGTGAGGGGTGACCCCTGAGCAAACCACCAGCCCGGCATTTAAACTCCTCAGATGGTCCTGGAGAAGCTCAGTGGTGTAAACTCCTCCAGTGCTCCAAGTCGAGCTCAAAATGAGCTCTTTTATTTTAAACCTGCTCAGGAGCTGAAGTACAACTTTTATTCTCTTGGGGCTTGCTCTGCAGTCACAGGGTCTGTCCAGAGTGATAAAATTCTTTGCATTCTTTCCCCAGTGGAGCTCCATCATCCCCTGTTCCCTGTGTCCAGTGTTGCCAGGAAAACACTGTCAGTTCTGCACAGAGGCACCGTTTTTCCAAGTAAGAATAAACCCTCTCCAAGGCCAAAGCTCAGTGCTGAGCCCAGGGGCCTCCAGTGGGTCACACACACACACAGGGAAAGTCACTTCCACCTTTCCCTTTACACTCCACCTATCCCTTAACCTTGGCTTAATGAAGAACAGGGAGAAAATGTTCTCCAAAAACTAAGTAAAGCACTGCATTGTGTTTGGACACTACGGGTTTTTTCCTCATTCAAAAGAATCAGAAAAAGGTTAAAATACACAGACATTTCAGACAAGGAATGTGTTTAAATTTAGCCAAGGACTGTTAGTATTTCTGGACAGCTCAAACCACACTTGAGGGGTTCTGTCCACACATTTTTCTACTTTCATTACAACCAGACATCTTCCCTCAAACACCCTTTCCCTGTCACGTTTCATTAACCTGAAAACTTCAGTTAATACAAGAGGGTGACTCCAGTAAAACACTGCAGGTGCCCAACACTTGCTAACTGACTGCATCCAGATAAAATTCAAAATATTCCCTGAAACCTGAGCCTCAGAATCATTTAAACAAGGCCTCTTTCTCCTCAGCAGCTAAAGAAACTGAAGCTGAGGAAGCCCCACTAATAGTTTAGTTTGATTTAAAAGATACTCAGCACTGTGTTCGTGGTAGTGCTTGGGAAAAGCTGCTGCTCAGAGAGGCCAACTTACTATAAATAGAAATAAATATAAAAAAATAATATAAATAAAAATAAGAATCCAGACACGATTACAAGACTAGTTACAATGTCTCAAAACACAGCAATACAGAACTGTTTCCTCAGTAACAGAATGAACACGGCATCAAATATATATATTTTACTCTTAAATAGAACAGCTTTATTCAACCAAATCCAAGATTATTCCAAAACTATCCCTTAACCTTGGCTTAAAGAATTATTTTTGCCATTCTTCCCCCTCAAAATCCCTTATGTATTGCTTAGAAACCGAAAAAGTACCTGTGAAATATTAATTTAAAAAGTTGAGGGTTTTTTTGGAAAAAGGTGAGAATCTCTTTTTTTCTTTTTTAATATTCCTTTTCACCAACAAAGCTAATGGAAGAGTGAGAGGCTACAAGAACACTTTGCTCAGCTTTATATAAAACTGAGAACCAAGGAGTGTGACTTGCACAGAACCTGGACAGGGGTGACATGAGCTGACACAGCCCAGGATGGGTCTGGTAATGCAGATTAAGACTGGGAACTGCAATCACACTCCAGTTCTCCCCTGCACCTCACTCTGAGCTTAGAAAAACACAAGTTCTCTCCGTGTCAGTGAAGTTTTGAGTTAATTTGACTGTGAATGTTGAGGCTCAAAGCCCTGGCAGGGAGTGACCAGCACACGATGGGCTGGAGGGGACAAGCCACGAGCCCAGGGCTGCAGTTTGAAAGCGTTGGAATCTTTTTAAGAAGAGTTTGTTCCCAGCCAAAAGTCTCTTCCAAGGTATCAGACGTGTTTGGGTGTGGCTTTCAAGATCCAAATAACCTGGGGGATGCAACGGGGAAAAAAGGAGATGAGAAGTGGGGTACAACAGTGCACAGTCACAGCAGTGCAAGGCTGAGTCTGTTTGAATAATTGGTGGGTTTCTCCCCCTCCAAAAAATGAACACTATCCCAAAATTTAGACCCAAAGGATGTTTTATCTGACAACCCCCAATAAGCAACATAACGTGTGGCTGAATGACTCACACGCTGGCACAGAAGGCTTTGATGCACTCCAGGTGCCCACACTGCAAAAAAACTGAGGCCAACCCATACTTGAACATTGAAATGAACCAGTGAAATCAATAAGAATTATAGAAAAATCGAGCGGGGGAGAAAGAGATGTGAAAAGAAATGCATGTGCAAGAAAAATCCCAATATACGACTTCCTATAACCAAACGACGTGTTACTTACACAATCATGCAGAACATCATGAAGATATTCCACAAGGCAATGAAGATTCGAAAATACCTGAGACTCAGCAAGAACTCTCTGATGTTGTCACCTAGGAATCAAGAGAAGAAGCCTCTGATGTGAAAAACACCTGACCGAGAGAAAATTCCCACCCAACAAAACCAGCGGGGAATTGTGGTTTGGCCGAGGATTTCCTTTGGAAAAGCCCATTCCCGTGTGTGTTCAGGCTCTGTCTCCCCTCCGTTACCAGTCGTGGGTTCCCTCGGTTCCTCTCCGAATCCCTCCGTGTCCTTCCTCCTCCTGCGGCACAAGGGGGTTCGTGTGAGGCAGGTGAACCCCCTCCCAAAAAAACCCCTCCCTGCCCTCCCTCCCTCCCTGTGTTCGCTCACAGCCTGAAGTTGAGCACCGCACCGGCGTTCACCAGCAGCGTCCTGCGGGAGAGAGGGACAGGGATGGGGACAGGAATGGGAACGGGGACGCGGATGGGGAGATGCCAAGGGGGGACGGGAGGGTGGATGGGAAGTGGGAGAGGGGGACGGGGAGATGGGGATAGGGATGGGGAGATGGGAAGGTGCGACGGGGAAGAGGGATGGGGAAGGTGGACGGGAGAGTGGATGGGGAAGGGGAGAGGGAATGAGGAAACGGGGCGGCGGATGGAGAGGGGGGACGGGGAAGGGAAAGAGAGGACGGGGAAGGGGCCAGGTCACGGTCAGGCACGTCCGGGCCGGCCAGACCCTGCCGAGCCGCCCCCGCTCCCCGTCCCCGGTACCCGCAGAGCAGCAGGTCCCCGATCATGGCTCCGGCGGCTCCGCGGGCGGAATTCCGGGGCAGCGGGAGGGGAAAGGGAAGGGGAAAGGGAAGGGGCGGGCGCTGCTCGGCACCGGCGGCGCTTGCGCTGCCCGGGGCGGCTCCGCGCCCGGACACGGCCGGGAGCCAACCGAGCTGAGCTCCCCCTCCAGCGGCCCCAGGAACGAACCGAGCTCGGCTCCCGCTGCTGCAGCCCCGGGCAGCGAACGGCGGGAGGGAGGGAGGGAGGGAGCCGTGTGAGCCGGCCCGGCCGCGATGGATCTGTCGGAGGCGCTGCCCCTCGGGGATTTGGCGGCCGCCTTCGCCGCCCTGCCCGTCTTCCCGCTCTTCGACACCGCCTATTTCATCGTCTCCATCCTCTACCTCAAGTACGAGCCCGGTGAGTGCGGCCCTCGGCCCGGGGTGGGGGGTACGGGCAGGCCCCGAGTTCTCCGGCACGATCGGGTCCCGTTCCCATTCCCATTCCCATTCCCCCCCCTTGCCCGCTCTGCCCTCTGGGCCGCCCCTGTCACAGCCGCTCGAGGGGTCGCGTTGTCGCAGCTCCCACACCTGTGCCTAATTATGAAGCGAAACACCCCCCCCGCCACCCCCCGCGAACTCGTGATTTTGGAAGAACAATCCTGCCTTTTGTTTACGATTGGATTCCGAGCGCATTGAGGTGTTTTAGGTCCGATCACTTCTCTGCTCTTACCCCAGGGCTGAGCGTTACAGTCCCTGGGCTTGAATATTTTCTGGCAGCACCTTCCTCGTATTTATATACAAAAAACGCTGTGAGGAAAACCTTTGGGTTTTCCCACTCTCTGGACCGTGCCCTGATCTGTTCTCAGGCACCATCACTGACCTTGCTTTGTTTGTTCCCTTGGGCTTGTCTTGCACGGATCGATAGATCTGCGCCTTGGCTTTCACTTTCTGCGTTTTCACAGCCTGGCTGCACCTCGGGCTGTTCCAAATGCCACTTTCTCTGTGTATTTTTGATGCTGGGTGCACTCCTCATGCTCTGTTCTAAGCAGTTGCATCGTAATTGCCCAGCAACTGAGGGGGGAAAAAACCAACCTCACTCTTGGGTATGATTTTCAAGCCCCTCCTCGCGTGGTCTGTCGAGCTGCACAATCCACCCTCTGTTCTAGTTAAACTCCCTGTAAACAAGTGCTGGGTTTTCCAGGCCTGATCACTTCCAGCTGTCTTCCAGCATTAAGTCCTGAATGGAACAGTTAACAGGCAGCTCTCACAAAAATAGCCTTTTAAATGTATGCAAGCCCAGGAACCCTCTGGGGCTGGATGAGGCTGGGGTGTGCTTTTCCCTGGATTCCTGCAGTGCTCCATCCCCACAGCTCCTGAAAATCAGTGTCGGGACAGAACCGTCCTGTTTCCCCCTTGGAGACAGCAGGGCTTGAGGGAGCCAAAGGAAAACAAGTGTTACTAAATTTAAGCCTCGAGCTAAACCTCGGGTTCCTATAGAACCAGCTTCACGTCCCGGCTGTCGCAGCTGTCTCGAGGTTTTCAGCTGGTTCA